TTCACTTATTGAATTTATCTGATTATTTTTTATGTTTTCTCTTTGATGAAATTCTCACTGAAGTCCTCCACTCTTTTTTTGAAGTCTAGTCAGTATCTTCACAACCATTACTTTAAATGCTCTAGTAGGCATGTTACTACTTAGCTCCATTTCACTTAGCTCTTTTGTTGTGATTTGTCCTATTCTTTATTTGGGACATATTTCTCTCTCCTCATTTTGAGTGACTCTCTGTTTCTATGTGTTAGGTCAATCAGCTACATCTCCTCCTGACAGTTGTGGCTTAAGATGAAGAGTCCTGCAGTGCCCTGCAGTACAATGTCTCCTGTTCACCAGAACCTGGCACTTCAGGTGTCCTATGTGTGTTGCATGTACCCTACTATTGTGGCTGAGCCACATTGCCTTCAGTCCTGTCATCTGCAATGGCTCTCTTTGCCTGTTGTGGGCAAAGTTTGGTCCTTGTGTTGTTTTTTTTTTTTTTTTTTAAATTTTATTTTATTTTATTTATGATAGGCACACAGTGAGAGAGAGAGGCAGAGACACAGGCGGAGGGAGAAGCAGGCTCCATGCACCGGGAGCCCGATATGGGATTCGATCCTGGGTCTCCAGGATCGCGCCCTGAGCCAAAGGCAGGCACCAAACCACTGCGCCACCCAGGGATCCCAGGTCCTTGTGTTGTTAATGGGCCAGTCTGGGGCTGCCTTGGGCTTGGGTTGAGTCAGATCAGGCATTTGTCAGAGATGCAGTATCCCTGAACTGTGGGTGCCTTCTCTTTGTTGTCCCCTGAGAAGCTTTTGTCAGTAAGTAGGACCTGCAGTTAGACCACATGTCTGGCCTCTCCCTACTGCTGAGGCTGCAGTGAGACTGGTATGTATGATGGCCTTCCCCCTCTCTCTGGGGCAGGAGTTACTTTGGAATGGTGCTGGCCCCCGTGGGGGCTGTTTTCATACTGCCACACTTGTTGCACTGCTTTGGATGGACTCCTGCTGAGGGCCTGTTTGAGAGGGCAAGTCCACAGGAGAGTGCTCTGTTAGCAAGCTAGGTGGAGTGTTCCTAGTAGTTCCTAGTGGTTCCCCCAGGTGTCTGTGTATCTAGGCTGGGGGTAGGGGAAGGAAATGGCACCCTCCAGCTCTTTGGTTCTTGGAGAAGTCTCCTAAAAATCCCTGCCTCTCCAGCATACGTTCTGAGATTCATAAATGATTCTTGCCCAGGTATTTTTCAAACTGCTGTTTCTAATCTGTATCTCCATGGGGCTCTTTCTTATGCTGTCTCTTTTCAGGCAAGGACTGGACTCAGTTTTCTATTACTCTCTCCCAGAGCCAGGCCTGCTGATTTTTTAAAATTCCAGCTTTTAATCAGCGCTGACTGTAAGAACTAGAGATGTTTTTCTGATTTTCAAAGTCATATGTTATGAAGATTCGTCCTCCCAGTGCAGGTTCCCCGGGCCTGATGAGGTGTCTACTGCTCTCCCTTTCTGTGCCTGCAGTCACTTCCTCCGGCAGACCGTCTCCCAGTCAGTTCAGTTCCCAGCCACCTTTCCATTCTTCCTACTGTCTTTGATGTGGCCTCTTCTCTACATTTAGCTGTGGATAGTCTTTAGGTTGTTTCAGGAAACTATTACGTTACTCCAACCAAATAAAAAAATTCTCAAACAAACTTGTGGACATACTAATAGGGGCATTGACGTAAGAGGCATTGATAAAACAAACAAAATAATGGAAAAGATGCAGAGAGAAGTAAAAAGCTTGAGAAAGAAAGTGTGTGAAATGCAATATAGGCAAAGGAAGATCCAACAACTCTATAATTAGAGTCTCTGAAGGGGAGAAATCAGTGGAACAGAGCTAATGACAATCATAATACGAGGGAACTTTTCAGAAACGAGGAAAACTGAAATCCACGTATTAAAAGGGCCCACCTGGACAGATTGGTCCAGAACAATGAACTGTGAGTCAGAAACTATTAGACTTTAAAGACTAGTGAAGCTATTAGACTTTAAAGACTTTTTTTTCCTGTTCTCTGAGGTAAGGACTGAGTAGATCACTTTACTAATTAAAAAAGAAAAAAAGACATCAGACTTCTCAAGAAAAATATACCAAGGAAAGCTACCAGAGAGCAGAATTTTTAAACTCAGGGAAACAAAGTTCAAGCTAGCCAACTTGTCTTTCAAGTATCAAGGTGATAGATAAACAGGTTTTTTTTTTTTTTTTTTTTTTTTGATAAACAGTTTTGAACGTAAAAGAATTTAGGTAATTCTTAGTGAGAATTTAATATGTTTAATTGTAGATCCAAAACTAATATATTTATTAGTTTTAATATTTTATATATTCTGACAAAGTAGAATGAATAAAATTAATAATGAATGAAGAGAAAGGGAAAATAGAGTAAGATCATTCCCTATAAGTATTAAGTGGCTATTATAGGATGCTACTTATGATGGTAAGTCAGATGGTAAAAGGTTAAATAAGAAAAAGAGACTTGATGCTCTAAAATACACGCACAGGGGATCCCTGGGTGGCGCAGCGGTTTGGCGCCTGCCTTTGGCCCAGGGCGCGATCCTGGAGACCTGGGATCGAATCCCACGTCGGGCTCCGGTGCATGGAGCCTGCTTCTCCCTCTGCCTATGTCTCTGCCTCTCTCTCTCTCTCTCTCTCTCTGCGACTATCATAAATAAATAAAAAAATTAAAATAAAATACACGCACAGACACACACACAGCATATGAAGGCAACCATCAGAAAAAAAAAATGTAAATCTTCCTAAATACCAAAAGAAAGTAAAAGAAAAGAAAAAAAGCAGGAATACCAACTACAGGGAAAAAAGAGTAACTATGAGTAATACTTGGTAATTATAATATATACCAATAATACTTGGTGATAAAGGTAATTATAGAACACACAATTCAGATATATCAGTCATGTCAATAAATATAAATGGGCTTATCTCACCTTAGAAGAAAAAGATTTTCAAGTGTCTCCATAAAGCAAAATCCATTTTATGGTGTGTATGAGGGACACACCTAAAACAGAGTGATTCAAAAATTTAAAAATAAGGGATGTGCAAAAACATCACAGGCAAATAGAAAAAAATAAGAAAGCAGGGGTTGTAATCTCAATAAACAAAGTAGGATCCATATTAAAAAGTCATTAAACACAACCAAGTATACTTTATAGTGTTAAAAGCCATGATTCATAATGAAGGTATAATATTTTTTAGTATCTATACACCATATAACACAGTAAACACTTAAATACAGTGAAATTGCTATAGCAGAATATAGAATAATATAAGAAATAGAAACATACGTGATGGATTTCTAATCCATCACAGTACAAGTCTGGTACAAGATATTTAAAGCTTGTTTAGTAAATTTTCAGTCTCACGCCCAGAATTAGCCATTTCTTAAAGAATTCTTGGTTTCTTTTAGTGAGAAATGATATTTAGAGATCATGGTCTTTATTTCAGGAGTGCTCACCTGTTGGTCTCTTTCTAGGCCTTTTCAATGGACAAAGCTTAGGACCTTTTAAAGAGAAAATACATCATTTTAGTTCACGCTGACATTAGTAATTGAAATTTAAAATTACAATTTTAATTCTTTGATTTTTATATCTGTACCTATTTTTTCTTGGTTCCTAATGATAGTAACAAAACTAATATATTTATTTTAACCTACTGTTTCAAAATAATACCAATATTAATACAATATTAAGATCTATGGCAGTGCATTTACTGCAAAAGGCTTAAGATGTATTTGCAGTTTTTTTTTGTTCACAGAATATATATAAAAATTACTGTTTTAAATCCACTTGAAAATTTTTTCTGTATATGGTTAAACTACCAAATCTCTACATAATTAAGTTTATCTGTTTTTTTTTTTTGTAAGTTTATCTGTTTTATTTTACTTTTTATTTTTAGGGTTTGTTATTTCCATTTTATTTTTACTTTTTTTTTTTTTAAACCTTAAAGGATTCAAGATATCATATCTGACAGTTGTGGTTTATTTAAAAAAAAAAAAAAGGAGTGCCTAGGTGGCTCAGTCAGTTAAGCATCTGACTCTTGATCTCAGTTTAGGTCTTGGTATTGGGGTACTGAGTTCAAGCCCTGCACTGGGCTCCATACTAGGCATAGAGGGAAAGAAAGAAAGAGAGAGAGAGAGAAAGAAAGGAGAGAGGGAGGGAGGGACGGACAGACACAGGGAAGAAGGAAGGAAAAAAAGTGTTAGGCTTATAGGAACAGTATTTAATGAAATAAATGTTGGTACGCTTGGGTGACTCAGCAGTTGAGTGTCTGCCTTTGGCTCTGGGTGTGATCCCGGTTCTGGGATCAAGTCCCACATCAGGCTCCCTGCGAGGAGCCTACCTCTCCCTCTGTGTCTCTGCCTCTCTCTCTCTCTCTGTGTCTCTCATGAATAAATAAATAAAATCTTAAAAAAAAAAGACAAATGTTTACAGTTATTCAAGAAAACTTTCTACCCATTTTTTTTTTCTAAAATGGATGAGGAATTTACTATAATTAAATGTTTCAGCTATTCCCGTATTCTAACTGGGAGTCTATAACTTTTAAGGCAGCTCTAAAAAGTGCAGCACACTACTACCACACACACTATTTCTGAACTACTTCTGGGAATGTATATCAGTATTTTCTAAGACATTGAAACTGTCACCAGAGTCTTACATGAACTTGTCTTAACCCCATACCCTACTAATTGGGGTTACTGGGGGTCTCAGTTATAAAGATAACTGCTCATCTGCCTTTCTTCTTTTCTTTTTCATCTGCCTTTCTAATGCCAAAGTAATTTTTATACATAATATCCAATATAAATGAAATAATATGCTGTAAAAATATATATACACTGTGGTTTGAAATCTGGAATTTAAAACTTGAAGGGATTAAGCTGGGTCATGAAAGTATTGCCACAGTAGTAACAAAATATAAAATTATAGTTACTATGTGTCTTTCTAGGAGGTTGGATCCTAAAATGTATAATTCTGTGTCTTCTCTTTTCAGAAGCTGATAAAATACCAGTAATGCGTGGACAGTGGTTTATTGATGGTACTTGGCAGCCTCTAGAAGAAGAAGAAAGTAATTTAATTGAGCAAGAACATCTCAGCTGTTTTAGAGGTCAGCAGATGCAGGAAAATTTTGATATTGAAGTGACAAAATCCGTAGATGGAAAAGATGGTAAGACCGATTAATATATTTAATATGTTCTGTAAATCAAGTAAGTTCTTGGTGAAGTGTAGAGTAGTTCTTAATTTTGCATAGTAATTCATGAGTGTTAGAATTTATAAAATTTCTGATTTAAACATTTGATTACTTAGAATTTAAATCTATGAATTTCTGAACTATCTCATTTTTTATTTTATTTAATATGTGTGCACTGGCATGACACTAACATGACTTACTCTAATTGTACAATTGTTATGTTCTGTGAATTAGTCCTTTTAGTAGTTTTTAATTACCAACAAAATTGAATCTACAAAAAAATCTGTCATTATATCAAAAGGACAGTTTTGTTAATATTTTAATGTTGGTTCTTTTCCTGAAGTTTAAAAAAAGTTAATTTCCTTTATGTAAATAACTTTAGGCTGTCTCCATATCAACTTTTAATTTGAATTAGTCTACTCTTTATATTCCCTTATTCAGCATTTGGATTTGTTTGCAATAGCTTACTATATTTACATAATAGCCAAGATTGCCATGTTTCATTATGTGTCTGATCTTGAGTAAAATTCAAAATGTGTGGTAAAGTTAAAAATACTTCTATTGTTCCATTTACTGCAGGCAGTGGGATCAGCTATTCTGGTGAGTATGATAATCCAGGTAGATTAGAATTTGTAGATTTCTCTAAATATTTTTTTCTAAAAAGTGTTTCTTCATCTATGCTTGCCTTTATTTTGGAAGTTTCTTGGCAAGCCCCATTGAAACTAGTGAATTAAAAGTATGAATTAAGTGAGTTACCCCCCCACCCCAAAATATTTCTAAAGCAGAAACTCAATATTGATCAAGTAATTCACAGATGCAGCTTGGAAAAAATTATGTGGTTGGAAGTAATTGCTTATATGACATAATTAATAGCAGAACAACAAGCTTTAAATTGGCTTTGGGTTTTTTTTTTTTTTTCTTATTCTTAGTGACAAACATCCATAAGTATTTTCTTTCTGAAAATTTCAAAAATTTTCTCTCTGAACACACACACATCACAAGCAAAGAAACTATAGTTCATACCAGATTAACATTATCTTTTGTGTCTAGTTGATTAAAAGTCTACATAACTGAGAAACTAGCTTCTCAAAGTTGTGGTTCATTACCACTACCAAAATAAGGTTGCTATTGGAGAGGGCTGAATTCTAGATTTTTTTCTATTCTCCTTCAGTCCTCCCTCAAAAATGGCAATTCACCTTAACAAACCCAGTTTAGCCACCTGAATTCCTTACTATGAATGTAGAGGAAAAAACCCAAGAGCTTGGAGGAAAACAAGAATAAGTATAAAAAATAAAAACATAAGTTGATTATTCTCCTTTCTTGTACTGTATTCAAAACATATTTTTTTCCTTTTGCTAATTCATCTTGTAGAAGTTAATCTATCAGCTCTGTTTCATCTAATAGATCTAATAGATCACATCTATTTGGAATCTTGTTTTTATTACAATAAAAATTAGAATTTTGTGTGTCTTTTTTAGTTCTACTACCTATCAGAATGTTAAGTTTAGCAAGATACTTCAGTTTTCTTCACAGTGCCCTAATTTTATGAGCCAGTCATTTAAAAAGGTCTGATAGAAAAAAAAAAAGTCTGATAGAGAACAGGTGTATTTATGAGTAGGTTTTTAGGAGGTCTTGGAGTGTCTGTGTTGATTCTAGAGTATCAATCAAGGATATTATAGTGATATTTTTTGCTAGATTTAAGGATATACATCTAGTGGTAAAATTCTAATTGGTAATAGAAAAATTTTAAACTGTTATAACACTTTTGCACTGTAATCTTTCAAAATGATTCTTTGAGGTTAATTAGAAGAAAAATTGTTTTTTTTTTTTAAATACAGCGTGGCATGTAAAGTTTTGCCATATTTTATTATTAGCAAAGATTTTAAATTCAGTTTAGTATGGATACTGTTGTCATAAACTTACAGCCATTTTAGTTGTTTTTCAGTTTTATGTAAAATGTATATGTATCATGTATATGTTAAGATGTGATATTTCACTTTGAAAATTATGGGAAATTTTATAGTACATTTGAAAATTCTCACTGGTCTTAAGGAAAGAACATTTGCTGTCCAAAAAGCCACCATTATTAGAAAAATAAATCCAATGTACCATATCTACAAAGATAAAATATAGTATAATATTTTATTTTGCTTCCTACCTCCTACCTTCTGAAATTTCACCTTTCATAATTAGAGTAAAAAAAAAAAATTTGTTCCTAAATTTTCTCATGTATATATATGAGAAAGCCTTGATTCATGATATTGTCAGATTTTAAATGTTTCCATGTGCAGATAGTGTTGTGCTAGGCACTTTTGTGAAGGAAATAGACAAAATTTTTACCTTTAAGAAGTTTTGGGGAAGACAATGTCAAAGATGAGAATTGTTAGTAAGTATAAGATAACACAGTAAACAATGAATATAGAATTAGATATTCTACAAATAGATTTGGCATACTGAGAATTGGAGATCACGATGCTGTGGAGGTTTTCAAGTAAGGCTTTCTGGAAAAATCCCATTTAATAATTAAAAACATTTAAAAATATTGTATCTAGGAACCTTTAAGTGCTCTGGGATTTTTTTTTTCCCTCGGCAGAATTTCTGAGAAACTAAACAGAGTTCTTGCCTTGAAGGACATTGATATAAAATAATTCCTTTTCTTTCTGACCTTATCTGTGTTTTAGTTTAGGCAGCTGATGCCACAAATAAATTGGATTTCTTAATGTTTTCTCCTTGTTAATTTTTCTACCTATCTCAAAGTAAGCATTGAAATAGATTGATGAAAATTTAGCATAACTTTTTTGGCACACAAATCAAAATAACCCATAAAAGCATCATCATTTTTTTGCGATTTAGATACTTTAATCTAAATTTTGTTTTCCCTTAGACTTAAAAATCAATTCTCTTCTTGCCCCACCTCCTAGCAGCCTAACAAATGGAAGCCTGGAGTTTCACTGGGGATGAATTCTACAAATAAAATCAGCCCTTCAAAAAGTAATTTTGAAAATATTTGCGCATAGTACTAGATTAGTGTTTGACTCATTTTATAATCTATCCAAGCAGTAATCAGTTTAAAAAAGGTTAAACTAGGAGTGCCTGGGTGGCTTAGTCCGTTAACTGTCTGCCTTCACTTAGGTCATGATCCCAGGGTCCTGGGATCCAGTCCTGTATTGGACTCCTTGCTCAGTGGAGAGCTTGCTTCTCCCTCTCCCTCTCCCTCTGCTACCCCCTGCTTGTGCTCTCTCTGTGTCAAATAAATACATTAAAAATCTTTAAAAAAAAATAAAAAGGCAATTTAATGGGTTAATCCTGCATCTCACCCTGGCCAAAAAATGCATAGCATCAATCCAATCATGAGAAAACATCAGATAAATTCAAATTAAGGGATATTCTACAAAATAACAAAATAGCTCTTCAAAAGTGTTATGGGGTCTAGTTAACTAGATGAGGTGAATCCTTTGCCACTATATGTCAAATTACTATTATGTACATGTTAAATATCTTCTTTTTTTGTCAAGTATATCTCAATAAAGATGACTTTTTTTTTTTTTAAAGTATCAAAGTTAGGAAAGGAAAAAAGTCCAGTAGGGGCATTAAAATAAAATAGTAAAAAATATTTAATTAGACCAAAAGAAATCAGGAAAAGAGAAACAAGAAACAAAATACAGAAGGAACAAAGAGAAAGTAAATGGGAAATAGTAAACCTAAATTTACCCATATTGATAATTATGGTGAATGTAAGTGAACTAATGCTCCAATTAAAAGGCAAAGATTGACATATTAAGAATGCGAAACCTGACTGATATGCTGTCTACAAGAGTCTCGGCTAGGTTACTATTCAAGCTAATATGGGGTCCTGTGACATCACAGGTGTTGGTGTACCTTGAAGAACTTCAAACATTTAACAATTTGGCATGTAAAGTGTATATTCCTATCACTGTTACTGAATAAGAATATCCCAAACTGTGAATATAAAATTGAAAAGTCAAAAAGGTGAGAGGAGCTACAAGGGTGCTAATCCCTTCTAACCTGCTTTCCTTTTTCTCCCTCTTTGGTGACTAAGAGAATTCCCCATCTTCTAGCTCTTAGTTATTACTTTTTATAAATTTACCTAATTTAATCTCTCTGAGATCCAAGAAGGTTGCTAGGCATTTTCTCATTACAGTTGGCATGTTTAAGATGTGCAGACCTGCTTTCCCTAAAGGTGAGATTATCCAGGTTACCAGCTTTTAGAAAGGGAGAAGTCATTGAGTTGTTCTGTTCTGGGGAGTTCTATGTCATCAACGACCCACTTTTTTGATATTCTTTTGCTTTCAGAATTATATAATGAAGAAAATCTCTTTAAGAAACAGGATTAGTAGGGGCATTTATTGGAAATGCTATAGTACTTTCGATCTTTTTCATTGCTATGGAAGGCTTTAGTATATAAAATAACATTTTAATATTAAATGTTAGCATTTAATAAGTTAACAGTTTTGGGTTTGTGCATATTGTTGCTAACATAAAAGGAAAAAATTTAGTAATGCTTTCTAGCACTTGAATTTCATTTAGTGGTGATCCCTGTTTGGATTGATAGTAAATACTTTGTACTGTGCTTATAATAGTATCCCTAATTCTATGCTTTGGGTTGAAAAAAATTAAGCTTTCTAACTGTGCTATGGGATATTGTGACAAATACAGCAAGTGACTTTCAAGTGAAAATAGGAATTTGATTTGAGAGGAAGGTAAAGAACCATGTCTAATTTTGTGAAGATGTTTTAAATAAGTGTACTTCTCTCTTTTTAGTATATTGGGATACTTGTCTCTTTTAATCCCTAAATTATACTGTTTATTTAAAAAAGAAAGCCTTTCTTTTTTATATCTTGACTAGCTTTCTGAAAGTGTTTGCATAATTTTGAAGTGTAGTCAAATGGTCCATATGAATTTCAAGTGGATTTTCAAATAATTATTTAAAATGTAAAGAAATGTATTGATATATTATAACCAGCAATATTTGACAAGAAAAATGTTGACTTCAGGGTTTTCTGCTGATTTGCCAAATATCAAGTCTGTCTGGCTTTCTGTTGGCTGTTTCATGTTTACAAAATGTAAAAGTATACATTTTTATTAATGACTTTTTATTATTTTTAGTTTTCTTTTAGTAAATATGGATTTAGTTCATGTTTTACTAGTGGATATATAAAACCTAGGTTTTGTTTCTTTGAGTAATAAAGTCTCAAATTTATGCCAATTTGATCTACTTTGATATTTAGCTTTTTCCTAATGAATTTTTTGTTTAAAAATGTTTCCTGCAAGTGTACATTCTACTCCTCAATAACTGATCAGAAGGCACCCCAGAGAAGAAACTTTAATGAAGAAAATTGTTTCAGTTATCATTTTCCAACCCAGTTATTTTCCAGCCCTTTGTAACAATGAAGTGTTTTTATTAATGTTCCAACCCAGTTTTTAATCCTAGTCTATAGCCTTCTAATTACATAGTTGTAGTTATTAAGTGCCTTATAAGCATTTCTCAGTTACCTTTTCATCTGTACATACAACAGATTTTTAAACCATTTCTGGTACTGCACAACAGGAATTAAATGTATTCATATTGGAGCAGTATTTAACCTTTGAATGTCACATTAATGTAGAAGGGAGTGAGGATGAAAAAGCAAATGTTTTAGAACATAAATTTGAACTAAGTAATAAAGGTTCTATGGTTCATTTCCTGAACTGTTAAAAACTGATTTGTAAAAAAAGAAAAGAAAAAGAATCTGATTTGTAAGGTTCAATTTCAAGTGGATTTTTAAATAACTGCTTATTTAAAATGTAAAGAAATTTACTGATATATAACTAGCAATGTTCCACAGGGAAAGTGTTGATTTTAAGGTTATTTACTGATTTGCCAAAGGCTGTGTCTGGCTTTATGTTGTCTGTTGCATGTTTACAAGGTGTCACAGCATACATTGTTACTAGTGACTTTTTTTTCATTATTTTATCACTGATCAGTTAAAGAGCTTCCAATTTGATTTACTTTGGCAAAAGTTTCATTTTATAATTCTTTTAGCAACTCAGAGTTGTGAAAAGATTTTGTTTCTGTGGGAAGCTTCCATTATACACTTCAGTAATAGAAGGCATCTAGTGGAATGTATACTATGATATTTTCTCAGGAAAACTGCATTAGATGTTTAAAATGTTATTTGTTGCCTTCTTAATTTGCACATCAACTGTCAACTAATTTGGTGAGAGTAAATAACCTTAGTATTATAAAGATGGGGCTTATAAATCCCTTTGCATACAAAAATACCATGACCTATTTTTTTATGCTGTCTGTGCAGAGACATTAAATGTGATGATCACATAGTTGTCTGATAAAATTTGGGTATCATTTGCCTTTTTTCATTCAATAAAAGTAGAGCATATATTTGATAAACATTATTAAACTATTTTGCTTCACTGATTTTTAATTAGAAAATTATATACATAAACATTTGGAATAATGTTTGTCAAATACAACTCCTTTTTTTAAAGTTAATACAACAAAAAGGCAAAATGGCAAACCTCATTGACAATTTACTTTGAAGCTCAGTGTTTTTGCTTTCTTAGTTGCCTACCACCTCCCTCCCTTCTCCCTCCCTTCTCTGTTCAAATGGAGAGGATATAAGGAGAGTTCAGATGCGGCAGGTCTTAAGCGAAAGCGTTCTCAAGGTACAGTAACTGTAGTTTCATTTCTCCATGTAGTTATACTCCCTGGCTTATAGTATTCAGTATTTAAAGCATAGAAATTACTAGTTTTTTAGAAATGTGTCCGTTGTGCTATTTTGTTTAGAGTTACTGGATTATAAGGGATATAAACATTTGTAAATAATATATGTGGTCCAGTAATAAGATGTTTACCAATACTAAGATGTTTTACTTTAAAACAGTTTGTGGATGATTTGAAGAGGAACAAAATTTGTTGGCTTAACACTATTCTCTTAATATATTGGTCCCGTAGTTTCGATGTTTTAAGCATATGTCGCTCAAAACTATTTTAACATAGATGTGGTTTAGAAACATTAGATTAAAAAGCATAAAATAGTAGTTTGGATCAGACATAGAAAAGTAATATTAAACTCTTGAAAAAGATTTTCCTAATTTACAAAAAGTTCTTTTATTAAAAAGAAAGCTGAGTTTGTACATCGTGGATGCTTTTTTGTTTTGTTTTTTTTTTAATTGAAGATATTATTGTTTGTCACATTAATTGCATCTTGGTCTATGTTCAATGTTAGTAATGTATCCTGTCAGATAAATGAAATATAAATTGGTTTTTCATACATTTTTGAAATTGGATTTGTAATCAAGAACAATTTCCCAGAAAGGATTTACTTTTCTATGTGTTCTAGTAGGAAATAGGTTTTCATAAAAATGACTTTGATCTTAGATCTTGGCCAGGGCTATATAACCTTTCACGTTTAACTTGAGGTTATTTTCAACCCAGCTTCAAATCAGAATAGTTAGGCTCTGCTGGTAATTTGCTTTATGGCAAGTCATTTAATCTCTTTGTACCTCAGAGTCTTTATATATAATGGGAGATAATATTTTGTTTAAAGAGGATTTGTTTTAAATAAATCAGGGATAGCAGTTTTAAGGTGCATAGTTTTCTGAAGATGGATATGTGGATTTTTTCTCACCTCTATTCCAGAGATACAGAGAGAGGAAAGTTTAAGGCCTTCAGGATTATAAGAATTATCAAGTTATGAATGGATGAATACATTATGACAGTTCTTTTAATCTATTGCTTCTGCAAGCATTACTAAATTAGTGATACATGTCAGGCTCTGTGCTAGGACACTGTGTTTGGTGTTAGTGGTGCAAAATGATCAAGACATTAGTACCTGCCTCAGACAGCTTATATGTATTTCTTAACCATAGAGGTTTGTGTTTTTTTGGGGTTTGTTTTTTAGCTTATTTTCACCAGGCATACCTTAGTTACAGAAATGCAGTAACCATACTGATTTGAACATTATAGTAGAAAAAAATTTCTTTGATTTCTTATTAAAACATCTTTTAACTTTGGATTTCTGTTATGGTGAGCAATATCCAATGATAATTGGTCTTCATATCTATTTCAAAACTACCATATATTCTAATAATTAGATTGTTCTCTTCCCAGTTTAAAGATAATTTTTTTCCCTTAGTCTTGTTTTATCTGGCACTGAGTGAAATTTTCACAGATCCAAAAATAAAATCCACAGAAGAAAAGAAACTTAAGTTTCTATGTCAAAGGTATTGAGGACTCAGACCTAAGAAACAGTTATATCATCTGGGAAGGCAATTCTTTAATAATCAAAACATATTAATTACATGTTAGAGGTTAAAATTATGGTGGTTAAGCCAGTTATTCTGTGTTCTTCTAACAATTTGACATTTCCTGTAGCATGGTTAATCATTTATAAGATAAAGTCCCTGTATTACTTGCTTCATATCAATATGTGTTTCAGCAAAATAGTTTTTTATTGAGCTCAGTTCAGATACAGATTCAAAAATCTGTGTATTATAATTATTCACACTTATAAATAAGAGACCTTCAAATTAATTTTTCCTTTTTGCAACAGCTATTCATAGTTTCAAATTGAGTCGAAATCACGTTGACTGGCACAGTATGGATGAAGTGTATCTTTATAGTGATGCAACAACATCTAAAATTGCAAGGACAGTTACCCAAAAACTGGGATTTTCTAAAGGTAATTGTTAAGTGTTACTATGCTTTGTCAAAATTTGTAGAATCTTTTTCTCTTATATTCAAAATAGACTATTCAAATTCTACTTTTAGAATATTTTAAATATGTTTTAAATTTAGTGACAGTTACTGCCCTGTTAAATGAAACTTTATTAAGGTGACTAAATTCACATGTACTTATCAGTGATAATCATATATTTAGAATGATCTGGCAGGATTAATATCTTTTATACTTCTAGAAACACAAGAGCAGTCAAACCTCAGGCAGTGATGTGAAAATAAAACATGGCAATTAAAGGTGAAAGCTAAAATTTTCTGTTGGGTTTAGTGAAATGGAAGTCATGAGTGGATTTGAAGTCTAGGTAGGTGAAGAAATAGAGGCAGTGAGAATAGACAACTCTTTCAAGAAGTGTGACTAAAGGGAAGAAAAGAGGAAATGGTACCTGAGGAAGATGTGAGAGCATTATTAATAAATTCTCAGAAATTTTTAAGTCTGGTATTTTTTTTGCTATTCCATCTTTTGTTGTGATTTCTTTGATAACAGATGTGCTTGAGTATATTCTTTGTTTACTAGTCATTTATATTTGTCTTGTGAATTATCTTGTATCTTTAGCCTGTTCTGCTATTTGAATGGTTGTCTTCTCACTTTATGATTAGTAAGCCCTCCTTTGTACCTCAGTAATTAGCTAATTATGCATATATTTTGCAAAATTTTTCCCAGCTTGTGATTCATCTTTTGTCTATGCTTCACGGTATTTTTTTGATAGAGAACTTTTTAAACTTTTGTGTTCAGTCCATCCTTTCTTCCTTCCTTTTCTTTTTCCTGTGGTTTCTGACTTTGGTGTCATGTCCAGTTAAGCACTTTGTATCTGAGCCAGTCAAGATACATTATCTTACAAATTTCATCCCCACCCAACCCAGTGAATTTTTTTCTTTTTTCTTTTTGTTTTGTTTTGTGTTTTTTTTTTCTTAATATCTCTTTTACTTTATTATTTCTTTCAATATATATTGTCAAAATGCTATTTCTGGAATAAATAGTAAACTTAGAATCATAATTTTTCTACAGCATCAAGCAGTGGGACCAGACTTCATAGAGGTTATGTAGAAGAAGCCACATTAGAAGATAAGCCATCACAGACTACCCACATTGTATTTGTCGTGCATGGCATTGGGCAGAAAATGGACCAAGGAAGAATTATCAAAAATACAGCCATGTGAGTTCTTTGATGAATACATTCTTCATCTAGTCTAATAGTCCAAACTTGTGTCTGGAGTGTAACAGAGTTTAATCTTTCCACCACACGTTTCTTCAATGCCAGTTACTGTAATACCTACTTTATATATGTGCTGCCGAACCGAGCACTGTAATACCTACATTATAGATGGAATTTCTGGACCAGATTTTGGAGTGATTATGTCCAGATGATGGTGATGATGATATTTGAGTTTTTCCCCCCACCGCATTGAGAAGGTGAAGAATAAAGTGTTTTTTACTTACTGATTTACATTAAACTAAGATTGAAAGCAAAGAAAAACGTTTAGTTTTCAATTTGTATCTTGCTCTCTGAACTGCAGAAACAGAATAATTGCAAAGTTTCATGATTATGAAGAACCTAGGAATTATTTAAATTGCCGGTCAGCAGTTTAACCTGGCCAATTAATTACTACAAGAGGGAACCAGGCTCTAAATTTTACTCAGAGAAGGTGGGTGTTTACCAATACACCAGGTACATTGTTTACCTCATGAATTTACTTATATTCATATCTTTATTCTAAAAACTCCAACATGTTATGGAGGTGGAGGATGTTTGTATTTGTGTTTGAAAAACATTAAGGACTGTATTTTGAAAGCAAATGTTAGGGTTAAAAAGTTTCACCTAAAATTTGGCCCTAACCTAGCAGCCAGTATGAAGAAAAATCTAATCTGGGGTGCCTGCATGGCTCAGTTTGTAGAGCATGCCACTCTTGATCTCAGGGTGATGAGTTCAAGCCCCATGTTAGGCGTGGAGCCTACTTCAAATTTAAAAAAAAAAAAAAAAGAGGGATGCCTGTGTGGCTCAGTGGTTGGGTGTCTGCCTTTGGCTGAGGGTGTCATCCCAGGATTGGGATCAAGTCCTACATCGGGCTCCCTGCGTGGAGCCTGCTTCTTCCTCTGCCTATGTCTCTGCCTCTCTCTATGTCACTCATAAGTAAATAAGTAAATAAAATCTTAAAAAAAAAAAAAGAAAAATCTAATCATATTTATGATGTGATGAAAACAGATCAGTTGTTGATTCAGAGCACACTTTATCTGGTTCTGAGGCTTCAAGTAAATGTATTTCTTCAGTCCTTACAGAGCAAATACTATGTGATACCAGGAACTTTGTCCTCATCAAATAATAATAGTGCAACATTGCATTTTGTTTTCACTTTTTATTGTAATCTCTTAATGCCAAGTAATGGATTAAAGTAAAAGTACAGTTCAGCTTTTAAAAACTTTGTCAGAGGGATCCCTGGGTGGCGCAGCGGTTTGGCGCCTGCCTTTGGCCCAGGGCGCGATCCTGGAGACCCAGGATCGAATCCCATATCGGGCTCCCGATGCATGGAGCCTGCTTCTCCCTCTGCCTGTGTCTCTGCCTCTCTCTCTCTCTCTGCCTCTCTCTCTCTCTCTCTGTGTGTGTGACTATCGTAAATTAAAAAAAAATAAAATAAAAATTAAAAAAAAATAAAAACTTTGTCAGATACTGCCAAGCCACTGTAACTTTGGTCAATCTTCATAACTTTTATTACACAAATCTCTTCCCTCTGATTCTGACTTTATTTTTTGTTGAGTTGCACATTACTTCATATATATGTTTTTGTTAAAATGCTGATCTTTTGCTTAGATATTTAGGAACCTGAGAAATAGGTTTAATGGCATGTTTTCTCTGGAGCTATTGATAAATGGGAAGGTACCGGCCTGCATATTTTGGGTGTACCTGAGGGAAGACCTAACCATAAAGGCTTAAGCCAAAAAGAAGATTTAGTAATTCATAAAACTGAGAATTCCAAACCTAAGATTTGCCAGTCATGAGAATCCAGAATTCAGTGTCTATCTACTCTGCTTTCCTTCATTTTTGAGCTATACTTAGACATCTGGTTCCAGATATGGTTTATATTGTGTTCAACTTCAAGAAGAATAAGCCCTTTTTCCATAAGTCCCAGTAGGTTTAGGCATTTCAGTGACCAGTGGTGTCACATCCAGCTACCTGAATCTACACATGCTGCTATGCAGGGTCTGATGTGCTGAACTTGTCATTTCCCACAATCAGATGGAAATTGGCTTCATCATAATCATAGGGAGATGTAGAGCCACAGATAAAAATCAAGAGCTAGTATTGGAAATAGGATGAATGAATCCAGAGTGGCTCAAAAAAACAAGTATCTGCCAGGGCACCTGGGTGGTACGTTTGGTTGTGTGTCCAACCCTTGGTTTCCACTCCGATGACAATGTCAGGGTCGTGGGATTGAGCCTCATGTCAGGCTCCACACTCAGTGCTGAGTCTCCTTGGATCTTTCCCTCTGCCCCTCCTGCTGACTGACTTGACTCTCTCTCAAATAAATCTTAAAAAAAAAAAAAAATGTTGGCTATAGAGAATTGGCATTATTCCTTCAGAAGACAGGTTAATTTGATGGAAAACTCCCCACATAAATTAGTAATTGATAGAAAATAAACAAAAAGGAATTCAGCTTAATGGAAAATCCAGAGAATTTCGTGATCCTTTCCCTGCTTTCTACCATTCATTCCTAAGTTAACTGTCCAAAACTAGAAAAATAGTACAATTAACTCCATCCTGGTCACTGCCCTTCTGAATCTTGTTTGTATTTGTGAGACTATAGTTGAAATGAACAAAGTAGTATAAAGGGTTATCAGATATCAGACTCCACCCTGCTGGCAATGTTTTGTTCTCTGAGAACCTTTGAAATCATGTTTTTAGAATCCTAGAGCTAGGTGTTTATCCTTCACCTTATTTTAGTGATTATGTGGGTTGAGAAGAAAGTTTATAGACAACTTATAGGAATATCAGAACTGGTTTACTGAAATGGATGAATGTATCTGAAATAGGATTTACTTTTTGTGGCACTTTATTATAAGGTAAATCTTCACTGAATTTATACGCTGATACCGTGCTAAAATTTTAGCAGAGTATAAAGACTTTCTAGAATATGGTAGATTGAACTCTTAAGCTAATCTTATTCCCTCTTGAAACTTAACTAAAAATGATAGCAAGGGAATTTTAATTTTTTAAAATTTTTGTATATTTTTCTATTGGAGTTCAATTTGCCAACTTATAACACCCAATGCTCATCCAGTCAAGTGCCCCCTCGGTGCCAGTCACTCCATCCCTCCACCACCTCCCTTTCCACTACCCTTTGTTCATTTCCCAGAGTTAGGAGTCTCTCATGTTCTGTCACCCTCTCTAATTTTTCCCACTCATTTTCTCTCCTTTCCCCTATAATCCCTTTCACTATTTTTTATATCCCTTTATGAATGAAACCATATGATGTTTGTCCTCTGACTTACTTCACTCAGTATAATACCCTCCAGTTCTATCCACGTAGAAGCAAATGATGGGTATTCGTCATTTCTTTTTTTTTTTTAAGAGTTTATTTATTCATGAGAGACACACAGAGAGAGAGAGAGAGAGGCAGAGGGGGAAGCAGGCTCCATGCAGGGAGACCGATGCGGGACTCGATTCTTGGACTCCAGGATCACGCCCTGGGCCAAAGGCCGGTGCCAAACCGCTGAGCCACCCAGGATTCCCTATTCATCATTTCTAATGGCTAATATTCCATTGTATATATAGACTACATCTTTATCCATTCATCTTTTGTGAACACCGAGGCTCCTTCCACAGTTTGGCTACTGTGAACATTGTTACTATAAACATTGGGGTGCAGGTGTCTTGGTCTTTCACTGCATCTTTATCTTTGGGGTAAATCCCCAGCAGTGCAATTGCTGGGTCATAGGGTAGCTCTATTTTTAATTCTTTGAGGAACCTCCACACAGTTTTTCAGAGTGGCTGCACCAGTTCACATTCCCACCAAAGGTGCAAGAGGGTTCCCCTTTCTCCACACCCTCTCCAACATTTGCTGTTTCCTGTCTTGTTAATTTTCACCATTCTCACTGTTGTAAAGTGATATCTCATTGTGGTTTTGATTTATATTTCCCTGATGGCCAGTGATGCGGAGCATTTTCTCATGTGCTTGTTGGCCATGTCTGTGTCTTCTTTGGTGAAATTTCTGTTCATGTCTTTTGCCCATTTTAATGATTGGATTGTTTTTTTCTTTGCTGTTGAGTTTAATAAGTTCTTTATAGATCTTGGATACTAGCCCTTTATCTGATAGGTCATTTGCAAATAATCTTCTCGCATTCTGTAGGTTGTCTTTTAGTTTTGTTGACTGTTTCTTTTGTTGTGCAGAAGCTTTTTATCTTGATGAAGTCCCAATAATTCATTTTTGCTTTTGTTTCCCTTGCCTTCATAGCTGTATCTTGCAAGAAGTTGCTGTGGCCAAGTTGAAAAAGGGTGTTGCCTGTGTTCTTCTCTAGGATTTTTGTGGATTCTTGTCTCACATTTAGATTTTTCATCCATTTTGAGTTTATCTTTGTGTCTGGTGTAAGAGAATGGTTGAGTTTCATTCTTCTGCTCGTGGCTGTCCAATTTTCCCAGCACCATTTATTGAAGAGACTGTCTTTTTTCCCAGTGCATAGTCTTTCCTGCTTTGTCAAATATTAGTTGACCATAGAGTTGAGGGCCCATTTCTGGGTTCTCTATTCTGTTCCATTGATCTATGTGTCTGTTTTTGTACCATGCTGTCTTGATGATTACAGCTTTGTGATACAACTTGAAATTCAGCATTGTGATGTCCCCAGCTCTGGTTTTCTTTTTCAATATTCCCCTGGCTATTCAGGGTCTTTTCTGATTCCACACAAATCTTAAGATTATTTGTTCCAACTCTCTGAAGAAACTCCATGGTATTTTGATAGGGGGATTGCATTAAATGTGAAAATTGCCCTGGGTAGCATTGACATTTTCACAATATTCTTCCAATCCATGAGCATGGAATATTTTTCCATCTCTTTGTGTACTCAGTTTCTTTCAGCAGTGTTCTGTAGTTTTTAGGACATAGATCTTTTTTTTTTTTTTTTTAAGATTTTATTTATTTATGAGAGACACACAGAGAGAGACAGAGA